TTTTTTTGCTTATTTTTAATTGAATTATTTTGTCTTTATGTTGTTGAGTTGAAAGACTTATTTAAGTATTTTACATGCTGGACCCTTATTCAGTCGTATTATTTGGAAATTTTTTCTCATAGTCTGTGGTTGTATTTTTATTTTTTTGATAGTATTCTTTGATGCAGGAAAGTTTTGAATTTTGAGTAAGTACAATTTATCTACTTTGTCTTTTGTTGCTTGTAGGGGTCTTAAGTGAGAGTCCAGTTAGGAGTCTAGTGTAGTAACCTGTTGAAGTGATGATAGTGGTTTAGTCTATGTTGTTAGCAGTGAAAACAGAGATGTTTGAACAGAGTAGGGATGTATTTTTATGGTAATTATGATAATTACAGCAAACATCTTCGTTCAGTGCTTAAGTGATAGGCAGTGTTCTAAGTGCTTTACATGGTCATTCATTAAACCTAAAACCCCATGAGACTTGCATTATTGTTCCCATTTTGCAAATGAAGAACCATAAGGCAGAGAATTGTTAACTAAAGTTTCTGTGGCTGTGTAGCTAGTGATATATTTCCCATTACATGCTACCTGTAGGGAAAGCCTGTAATCACATGTAAAGGCTTTAGACTTATAGTGCTGTTTCCGTGTGTTTTCACGATCTTGTATAATATTGAAGTTTAATGATTATTTTATATTTCAAATTGGTTACTCTTATCCAGTGAAAAATATGTGTATGTGCATGCACATGTCTTTATGTATCTATATTTGTGTTTATGTGATATATATATATACACACACATACATACACACATATATACTCATAAATATACACATAAGTATCTGTACATACCTGTCTATGCATTGAGACGTCCAGGATAATTTGAAATAGTTGTCTCTGAGTTGTGGGGTTTATGTGTGTATGTGTGATTTTTTTTTTCAACTCAGATGACTTTCTCTAGTAGTTATGTATTAATGTTGAATTGAATACTGCTATATTCACCTTGAAGACAAAACAGAATGTCTGGCTTGCTGTTGAATTTAGAAAAGAACTATAATCTCATTGGTCTCATGTTCCTAACTAGTATCTTGCATGGATTCTTCTTATGGGGAAGGCTTTCTTTGTAGTTTTCCCTCTTTTTTACTGTGTAGTATCTTAAAAACCATAGGAATAATATTGACCTGAGAGTCTTACTGTGTTTTTGACTTTGACTTTAGATTTCCAAGGTCCTTTCTGCTTTGAAGTTTATGATGATTTGACAAGTTTACATTTACTACCATGGTGGTGGTATAAAACGGGTCAGCAAACTGTGGTCCATTGGCCATATGTGGCCCTCTGTCTGTTTTTGTACATCTTGTGAGCCAAGAATGGTTTTTATAAACATATAAAGCCTTGGGATCTATTTGATGATAATAATGCTAGCTTCGAACCCCAAATAAACAAAATATTATCTCCTATAAAAAAGATTCCATTCTTCTTATTTAGTAGACTTACATTACAACAAATTCTATTCAGTAAAAATTTTGTCAAAATTTATTTTCTTATTATTCTAAGTACCTACATAGTATCCTTGGTTTTGCTTTCTTGCCTGCAAAGCCTAAAATTTTACTCTCTGGCCCTTTACTGAAAAGGTTTGCTGACCCTTGTTCTGGAAGAAACCTGTATTTGTCCCATGTTCACATTCATTCTCTGCTCCAGCTTCATAGCAGTTTGAAATGCTAAGTCAGAGCCATATGGTCTATCTTTTGCTGTCCAGATCTGCTTGGATTGGGTCAGTTCCTGAGTTCAGGATATAGTAAATAATTCTTAAAAATCACAATTACCTAAATATGCTTGCTTCCTAAATTTGAGGGTAGGTATTTGGATAGTACTTTTTTGATACTTGTACTTGTTTAGTTTAAACTTCTGTTTCTAACAATTGCCTGATGTGTACTTGGTAAATGTTATTTGCCATGGTATCTGGTACGGTAGCTCTAAACCAGAGATACACTTCCCAGGTAGCTTTCCTGTTTTGTGATGAGAAAATCTTTACTAGAAATATCACTCCAAAATTGAGGTCCAGAAATCATGCAGATGATGTCATCATTTTATTACTAGTTTGCCATTATATATAGTCTTTCTTGTCTTCAATAATGTAGGAAAACCCCCCCAACTTGTTTGATAACACCAACAGTTATATCGTTGTGCATTTTTGAGTAGGTCAGTTGTTATCCTCTGTGTTATTTAAAGGATTAAACTCTCTCTGTCCCTTGACAGCTAATATCTTCTCTGTTCATTTAAGTATCCTGATGTGTCCTCCAGGTCATAGAGCAGAATCACTTCTCTAAGTAAGCACTGAGGTGGCATTCTGTCTTCCTGCCTTGATACTGATTGTTAGCACCACTTCATATCAGAAGTATTTTTAAAATGAAAGAAGGAAACTTCTTTTCACTGACAGACCAGGAAGCAGTCTTGATTATAAGTGTTTTGGAACAAGGTTTTAGATAACGTGATTTAGTTGCACTGTGGATGGGACATAAATTACTCCATAGGTCTACAGGTGTTTTTTCTTTATATATTTGATTCTGGCTTATGTTAATGCATTTGGTAGTATGATATTAAACTTGTCTGGAACTGTTTTTCTTTTCTCTTGCTTCTGCTATTTACCCCCCGTTTTTTTTTGGCCCGCTCCTTCCCTTTCTCTTTTCCGTAAGTCAGTTCAGCTGGAAGGCAACTGACTATAGGCCAGCTACGGAGGTAAAACACTTGTGGGCTGGCTTTTTATTCATAATTCTAGAATCCCTGGGAGTTAAATTTGTCAGCTTTTAGGAGATTCTTTACTTATAACATTAACGCGTCATGAGGGCATATATCACAGTGATTGAAATGGACAGGCATGCAGTTGAATTTTGGGTTTATCCATGTAGTGATAATTTTGGTCTAGCAGTAGTCTAGCAATGAAGTATCTTTCTTGATCTATAAGACTACAGTTGTTTTTTTTTTATTTCAAAGGTTCTGGGCTCTTTTAGAGACTTGTACTTTGATGTGTACTCATAGCTTTTGTTGGTGAAATATTTCTGAAATACCAGTCATGATTTTCATCTGAATTTAAGCTTATTTGAAGATCTAATATATTGGAAAGTGTGGGCTTCTCTGACTGCTGAAGGAGTTTTACTTAGCTCATATTATAATGATAGCTAATATGCCACGGATTCATATATATGGGTATATACATATATACATTTTCTTTTTTTAATTTATTGACGAGAAAGAGAGCGAGTGCATGTGCACACAGAAGGAAGGGGCAGAGGGAAAGGCAGTGAAAATCGCAAGCCAGCATGGAGCCCCTCATGCGGCTCGATTCCAATACCCCAAGAGTGGGATGCTCAACCGACTGCGCCACCCAGGCGCCCCTACTTGACTTTCTTTTTTAAGGATAAAAGTAAATGGGGACATTTTTGTTCAAGTTGTTATCATTAGATTGATATCAAGATGAAAGTAGTAAATTAAGTTTGCTAATTTGAAAATAATGGAACTTCTGTATTCAGCGCCTGTTAAGTGTCATACAAATTAGGGAACTAACTTTCCCTAAATCAAGTCTGTGGCCAACCACTTGTTGTAAATAAAGTTTTCTTTTGAACATAGTTGCACTCATTCATTTACATATTTTCTATGGCTACTTTCATACTAGAAGGACAGAGTTGAGTAGTTACAGCAGAAAATAGAGACTGGATGGCCTGCAAAGTTTGCCAACCACTAGAGATATATGAGTTTTGTGGGGGGGGGGTAAGATTAGGGTGTTTTGATACCTTTTCTCTTCTGCATCCCACCTTTCTTCAGAGTCCTATATCCCTGACTACTGAAGGAACTTATTCATAATTTTCCTTCAGCTACCCTTATCCCACTGTAGATCCACTCCCCTACATTTCACTCCCAGAATCATCCTTCCCAAATTGAAATCTTGACTCCACTATTTCTTAAATAAAATCCAAATACCTCTTGCCCTGGCCTTTGCCAAGTCTGATGGTTTTTTTGGATATGCTGAACTAGTTGCTCATCATTTCCATCTTCTATCTATGCATTTATATTTAATGTAGAATATCTGAATATATCTAAATTGGAGTGCCTTCTCTCCTTCTCTGTAAAGTATATCCTACATCAAAACTTATTTCTAGAATCCAGGCCCTTCCTACATCTCCAACTTCACCATCTCCTTTTTACCTCTCACAGAAACTTCATATATTTCTTCCTTTTTCTTAACCACTGTGCCTGGTACATAAGACAGTTATTTCACTTTGTATATATTACATTCTCACAAATTTCTTACATGTCTTTTTCTCCTGTTAGGCTGTGAGCCCAAAGATTCTTTCTTTCTTTCTTCTTCTTCTGCTTTTTTTTTTTTTAAATAAAAATCTTATGCACAGAAAAGAACAAGCAGGTGTGTGCAGAGTTGTTACTTCAGACCCTGAGACCAAGTCTGGCTCCTTCCTCTAACTTTTCCCAAAGATTATTTCTTATTTACCTCTTTATTTCTAGCGCCTAGCATGGAACCTCATGAATATTTGTTTAGTGAAGGATTGGATTAATAACTTCACCTACAATGTATAATGTTTGTTTTTATTTTTACTATTTTATGTTTATTAGGAGGCAAATTAATTTAGAAAAATAAACCTGATTCATATAAATTTTTTGTAGCTTTATTAGGGTGAAACTGCCTAGGTCCTGATTTTTGACTTGGCACTCTATGCTGCAAGGGATAGAATTCTCTGCTTCTAAAATGTATCAAATCCCTGATAGGGAGTTTTGATCAATATTCACCATGAAACTCATCTGTAGAATAAAATTTTTAATTTATAACTTGATATAAGGTAAATTTGCTAACAAGACAAGTAATTCTATTTACATCTGGTGATATGTGTGTGATACTAGATAAATCCAAATAGTTTCTTTTTTTTACCCCCTTTTAAAAAAAATTTAAATTCAATTAATTAACATATTAATCCAAATAGTTTCAGTCCTGTTTGTGTTTTTCCCTATCCATTTCTAGGTACAAGACATCTGCTTCAGCCATGACTGTCGCTGGGTTGTGGTTAGTACTCTCCGGGGTACTTCCCATGTTTTCCCCATCAACCCTTACGGTGGCCAGCCTTGTGTTCGAACACATATGTCCCCACGAGTTGTGAATCGTATGAGCCGTTTCCAGAAAAGTGCTGGGCTGGAAGAAATTGAACAAGAACTGACGTCTAAGCAAGGAGGTCGCTGTAGCCCTGTTCCAGGTCTATCAAGTAGCCCTTCTGGATCACCTCTGCATGGTAAACCTAATTTTTTCCTCTCTCCACTGACCCCTACCATCCTTCTCTTATTATCCTTACTTTTTGAGATATGGGATAAAATAATTAAAACATTTTTCCACCTCATCTGTTCATGCAAAGAAAAGATCTTAGGGTCATTCGAGAACATTTTTTTTTTTAAAGATTTTTATTTATTTTTTTGACAGAGAGAGAGACAGTAAGAGAGGGAACACAAGCAGGGGGAGTGGGAGAGGGAGAAGCAGGCTTCCTGCCAAGCAGGGAGCTTGATGCGGGGCTCGATCCCAGGACCCTGGGATCATGACCTGAGCCAAAGGCAGGCGCTTAACAACTGAGCCACCCAGGCACCCCTCATTCGAGAACATTCTTAATTTATTAAGTCATTTAATAAACTGAAGCCAACATAGGAATGGTGATCTTTGCCATGCTAACTTTTTTAATATATAAGGCATACTTTGTGTCATATGTATGGAATATGAAGTTCAAGACTATTTTCATAAATTTATAGATTAAATCACATACCTATAGATTTTTTCCAGGAAACTCTGTCTTATCCAGAGTCGGTACTACAGTTCATTAAGAAATATTCATTGTTGGAGAGGAATAGTCATAAGTTGTGTATTTTAGAGCAGCATTTGCGTTTTTTTTTTTTTTTTTTAAGATTTTATATATTTATCTGACACAGAGAGAGAGAGAGAGAGAGAACATAAGCAGGGGGAGAGGGAGAGATAGAAACAGGCTCCCCGCTGAGCAGGGAACCCGATGCGGGGCTTGATCCCAGGACCCTGGGATCATGACCTGAGCTGAAAGCAGCTGCTTAACCGACTGAGCCACCCAGGCGCCCTTTGCGTTTTATTTTAAAATACATCTTTTTGGGATTATGTTTGTGAAATTAATTCATGTTGTTCTGTGTAGGTTTACTTCATTTATTTCCATTGCTCTTACATAGTCCATTGTACAAATATGCTTCTACTTATTTATTTAACTATCCTTTTTACTACTGATATTGATATGTATTTGATGGGTTTCTGGTGTTGGGTTATTATATGTAGTGATGCATTGAACATTTTTGCACTTGTTTCTTGTTGCAAATGTGTACTCATTTTTTAATGGAAATGCTGGGAGTGTATGTGAATCTTGACCTTGGAAGATAATATCAGAATGGTTGTGCCATTTTATTTCCACTGGAATGACAAAAAATTATTTGTTTACATTAAATGACATTTTTTCTAAAGCATTGCAGGTTCTCCTTGACAGATGACCAATTTAGGTTTCTAAGAATAGGGAATTTTATAGAGAGAGATTATGGTTACTACAGAAATCAATTTTTATTTATTCAGTTTATCTTAAATTTACATAACATAAAATTAACTATTTAGATGTTAACAATTCAGTGGCATTTAGTGCATTCACAATGAACCACCACTTCTAGTTAGTTGCAAAATGTTTTCCTCATCCAAGAAGAAAACCACGTGTTCTTTTTTTTTTTTTTTTTTTAGGATTTATTTATTTATTTGAATGAGAGAGGGAGAGAGCACATGTGTGGTGGGGAGGGATAGAGGGAGAGAGAGAGAGAATCTGAAACAGATTCCGCATTGAGTGCAGAGCCCGACGCGGGGCTCAATCTCACGATCCTGAGATCATGACCTGAGCTGAGACCAAAAGTTGGAGGCTTAACTGACTGTGCCACCCAGGTGCCCCAAAACCACATATTCTTTAAGCAGTTACTACCTATTCCTCTCCACCGAAGGCCCTAGCAACCACCAATCTGCTTTCCGTCTCTGTGGATTTACCTGTTCTGGATATTTCATATAACTGCAATCATACAATATATGACCTTTTGTTTCTGGCTTATATGATGTGGTATGTTTTTGAGGTCCGTCCACACTGTAGTATTTATCAGTACTTCATTCCTTTTTATGCCCGAGTAATATTCTACTGTATGTATATATCACAGTTTTAACTATTCTTCCAGTGATGGACATTTGGGTTGTTTCCACCTCTTTACTGTTTTGAATAGTGGTGTTATGAACATGGGTATGCAAGTATTTGAGTACTTCTGTAGATCTTTTGGCTATATACCCATCCTTATTTGTTTTAGCTTCTGCTTAAACATACATCTTTTTGTAATACCTAATCAACCCTAGATATGTATTTTTTGTAGGAAGTTTTAAGATAGACTGAAAACGTATGTAGGAAAATGGATCCTGGGGAGAAATTCTGTAACTCAAAAAAAATTTAAGACTTCTGTTTTCTCTTTAGATGATGCTTTATGCTTTGGCCCCATTATTTTTATAAGAACAGTTGTTATTTATTTTTACTTAATTTAACTAGTGACCCATGATCTTCGAGGTTGAAAATCTTTTAGAATCAGTCCTAGGTGAAAACAGTCATTTTAAAAAGCATTTGGAATTAAAAAAAAAAAAAGTTTAGTAAGCTATGGGATATTTGTATTTTCAGCCATTTGCAAGAAATATTACTTAGAAATAATTACTTAAATTTTAGGTGTAACTATTTTGTCATATAATTAGCTCATAGTACAGGTTCTTTGAGGACCTTTCTCTTTGTGTTGAGTATTTTTCTCCAATTAAATTTCACCAGACACTTTATGGAGAAAGATTCAAAATGCATGTGGGGCAACTAGGTTGACCTGAGAACAGATATAATAGTAAAAAATGAGGAAGGATTTTTAGTCCTCACATTTATATATATCCAGAAAGTCTTTTGAGCTTCTTTTTTCTTCCTGTTCTTCCTTCCCTATTAAGCTTACCACATACCAGGTTTTGTGCTAGGCTTTGGTTATAATGTACACAAAAATTTGAGGTAATCTCTGCTCTGGTGTATTATCTTCTAGTCCAGGGGAAAAGGCAGATATTAAATTTCTGTGAATAAATAATTTTCAGTGTATTTTTGTAGAAGGGTGCAAGGTGCCAATCAATTAAGGATTTGTCATTTGTGAAAGAACACATAGTTGAAGAGCAATACTCGATTTCTGAGTAAAAATGTATGATTTTCTCTCAGCTTGGTGATTTCACAGCTCTCTTCCTTTTCTTGCATGAAGCTAACAAGGCATCTCAGAGAAGAGATTATACCGTTTGACAGTACTGCTCTACTTCACAGACCTTTCGAAAGAAGGAATTTCAGGAGGCATTTTCCTCCTGATCACGTGTTAAAATTTTATTATGTTGGAATGTCACCCCATTATTCTGTATAGTATTTCTCATTTTTAAAGTGTAGATATTCAAGTGATGGTCATTTTTCTCCATGTCCTTTTTGTGTTTTACATGTCAAAACAAAATGGGTATTGTTGTTGGTTAGTTCTAAAAATGATGTATTTACAGTTTGTGTGGATAAACAGTCTGATGCTGGTCAAAAACAATGTAAACCTTTGAACAGGGAGGGATTCATCTTGAAAATGAATCATGCTTTGGCGGTATTACCGTTGTTTGTCTGTGCTCTTTTTAGCAAAGTAAAGGAAACTGTTAAATAACAGTTGATATAGGGATATTTCCTTTTTACTCTCTGGAGTCAATCCAATTTAGGTTAGGATTATTTTATCTATTTGCCTTTTTTTTTTTTTTTAACAGAGGATGTTGATTTATTTGAAATATATTCTCTCTAAATATCTCCTTCATTTCCTATCTTGTTGCCTGGACTTTAGTCTCTCTGAGGGTTCTTAACTTAAGATCCATGAACATGCATAGGGAGAAATTACATCTTTGTGTTTACTATCCTCTAACCAAAATTAAGCATTTCTTTTTATTTTGAATATAGATAACACATGGCAGTAATATTAGTTGTATTTGTGACATTGTCACCAATAAAAACACATGTTTTCATATCACATTATATTTAAAAAATATGTATCTTGAAATGTTTTAAATTACTCAACATATTTTGAAATATGCTCATCATTGCTTGTTATATAATAATATGTTATATAATCATTGTTATATAATATTACTGATTTAAATATTTATTGCATATAATACTGTAGCAGAACTTAATTTTTAGACTATAATGATGGCTATGCTTCTATATATATAAAATTGTTTTTTTTTGTAATTCTATTTATTTTATTCCATGCATTTATAAGTATTATTCTGAAAAGGAGTCCACAGGCTTTTCCAGACTGTCCAAGTAGTCCTTGACACAAAAATGATTAAGAATACCTGATCATCATTTCTTACCTCATCTGTTTCAATAGCCTTCAACCTTTTATGACTATCACAAGCATTTCCTTTGTTAACCATAAATATGATCTTCCACTTTTCTGCTTAAAATCTTTCAGTGTCCCATCATTCTTTGAGAATGTTAGAGAAGATCCCACCTTACTTCTAACTTCTTGTCCCACCATACCTAGTTTTTTGTACCCTTCCCTGAATATGCCACATGTGTTCATTTCTTGGCGCCTTTCCTATTTATGTACTTTTCTCTATTTGAAGTAATTATCGCCCTCCCGCCTTGAGTGCCTACTAAAACCCCATTTCATTTTGAGCTAAGCTAAAAATACTACTTCATCTCTTAAAAATCTCTTGATGTTGTGTCATCTTTATCAGCCTTGACATTGGCACTCCGAAGACACCCTTAACATATTATAATATGCTACTTGCTCATCGACATGCCTGTGTCTCCCGTTAGATTGACCTCCATGAAGATAGGGTCTTTTCCTTGTTTGTATTTTGTATCTTGACACTTTGCATCGTATTGGTAAAATGTAGACTCTGAGGCTTCGAGCCAAAATTTTCAAACATCTTTAGACATTCTAATAAAGACAATATAGATTTAAATCATTACTTGTCAGGATGAAGAGCTTTTCATTCATGGTAACATTGCTTTTCATTTGAACAGCTGTGAGATACATTCATTTATTCAACAACCACTAATTAATGTTTACTATGCCCGGGCACTGTTCCTGAGCCCTAGGAATTTAGCAGTGAACAAAGGAGGAAAACATCCCTGTTCCACGAAGCTAACTTTCTAGTGGAGTGATATGAACAGTG